GAGAACGACACTCCTGTGATACTTAGAGCGGCTACCAAAGTTCGCCTGTCTACTATAGATCTTTCTTTTCAGGTGTTCCTCCCATACACACTTGTAGTTCTGCGTAACGATGAATTTATTAATAAGTAACATTTAGCCCTTCGAATGCTTCTATTCTCGTGGACAACTTTCTTAGGCAGTACAGCAACAACGAAAACACGTTCGGTGCCTCAACGATATGTGTACATGTAAAATGGGTCGTGAAACAATTTTTATTTTTTCTTTTCATATATCGTTGGTAGCTTGCAAAAAATATCCATTAGTTTTCATCTACCCGCAATGGCAGACGCGAAAAAAATAAAGGATTGAAACAGCGAGCGACCACGTGATCTGTTGCTAGTTATATACCGTCAGTGTTCATCATGGTCATGTACTGGGAATCGGCAAAGCGAAGCATAGATGGGCTGTGCTTCACATATTAAGGTTGGTTCACACACTTGCTTGAGTCCGACCGAATGCGACTGCAACGGCTTGCGACATACAGGTAGCTATGGCACCAGCTGCGTCGGCTCGAACAAAACAGGGTACAAACCGGTTTTGTTGCAGCCGGCGCAGCTGTTGCCATAGCAACCCGTACGTCGCAAGCCGTTGCAGTTACACTCGGTTGGACTCTATGCAAGTGTGTGAACCAGCATTGAGAGTCAAGCGCTGTTTATACACCTAAAACCGAGTAGGACCGAGAGAGACAAGACCGGTTTTTAAGCCTCTTGCGAGGGCGGAGGACCTGCTCCGCAGCAGCGCGTCCGGTCCTCTGCCGTCGTAAGAGGCTTCAAATCCGGTCTCGTCTCACTCTGTCCTACTCGGTTGCAAGTGTGTGAACGGCGCTTTAAGGCGCGTTCACACACTTGCGTTTGACTCGGACCGACTGAGACAAAACCGGTTTTTAAGGCTCTTACGACTTCTTACGACCACATGCGCAGCAATGCAGCCGGTCGTCATGAAAGGCTTAAAAACTGGTCCTGTCTCCGTCGGTCGGAGTCAAACGCAAGTGTGTGAACGGGCCTTTAGTCTATTTTCATCTTTGATTGAACATGAGCTATTAGCTGAATGTTTGCCGATGCTGATTGTCATGAACCCGAGCACTCAACTCGGGCTCATGACAATCGAGTACGTGACGGTGTCACGTGACCTGCGATGCGAAGCTCTGTTGTCGTGTGACGTCACGGTGTCAACAAAGCTAATGAATCCAGCGATGTTCTCAATTTAAATGAACTTGCCGCAGTGGGTGTATCTCGAAACAACCCATTCTTGTTTGAACCCTTCTCGTTTGAACCCATTCGCAAAACGCCCTTCTCGTTTTAACCTTTCGCGTTTCGACCCTTTCTTGTTTATACCCGTCTCATTTGAACCCATTCTCATTTGAACCCTACTCGTCTAAACCCATTCGCAAAACACCCTTCGCGTTTTAACCTTCCGCGTTTCGACCCTTTCTCATTTGAACCCGTTGTCATTTGAACACCGTAGTGAGGTATAGAAAAAAGGAAAAACAGTTGAGGATGAAGGTTGAAGATGAAGCGAAGCGGCACCATCTCTTGCATAGCACATGAAACAATTTTCCCTATGCCTGCGTGCCACCCCGAGTTTGTTGACGTAGCTACGTGGTCACACGGTGACGTGGTTTCAAAAGTGCTAGCGCAGATTCGGTGCTTCATTTCTCTTCTGTCGCTGTATGTCATTAAGATGTCGTCGTTTGGAGCGGATGGATCATTATGCTAGTCGTGTGTTATTGCTTGTAATGGCCAATTCGGATGGTCATTTTCCCTGAAAAAAAGTTTTCCCACATCTTCGGCAAGGGCGTTCGCGTGGTCAAAGACTGGCGAGTGCAAGCTTTTCGGGTTTCGCTTCTCAGGCGTGTACCGGCAATTTACTAGCAGAAGTTTTCCCGAGCTCCAAGAGGTCGGGCAGCTTGACTGCCAGACTGTATCCGGTAACGTCACATCTGAATCGGGATAGGGAACCAAACGAAACAATGTTCGCTGAGGCGGCAAATAGCGGGTTCGAGTGGCAAACGAAGCCATCGAGACAGGCACCCTTTTGTGCTCTGAGACAAGATAGCAAAAACAACGAAGAGAAAGATATTTTATGTTTCAAAGATAGTCAACATTTTTGGAAGAATTTATCCAGCCTGAGCAAGGTATGTTTGCTCTGAGACACGGGCTGCATCATACATCACTTTATTTTACAACTCTGTAATAACAAGGTATTACACCGCTGGAAAAAAAAAGTATGCATAGTGGGGCAGTTTGTAACTTGAACACGCATTGCAATTTCAAGGAGGGTGGGTGCAATGAGAAGACTGAGGATTCCAAAAAAAGTACTAGAGAGTTTTAGTAGATCATTTCGATACCCCCGATAGCCCCGATAACGATACTATGCATGCGCAAGGGAGGCAGTGGCGGAGTACCGGGTATCGTTATCGGAGTCATGGGAACGATCCACAAAAACTCTCTACTAACAGTAAACAGAATATGGAAAGCGACGCTGGCAAGCCTGCGTGGCAACAGTTAATCGAAAATCCAAACAAAGTTTATTGAAATTTGACGCGCGTGCGGGCAGCACCACACTGATTTATATATCTGCCCTTTCATTGATTTTATATTTAAATATTCTGTCAGCTGTACGGACTGTGGTAATGCCAATATTTTGAAAAGTTTTGTGAAGCCGCTTCTGTTTACACACATCTTAAAGAGTCGTAATTTATGTTGTTGGCGTATGCAGCGTGCTCATGGTACCATAGAATGATCGAAGAAGAAGTTAACAGAGCTCACTCGCCACCGAGTCAAATAAAAACGCCAGTTCATTGTGCTTTGCATTCGAGTGGAGACGTGATACGCCGCTGGCGCGTTTTTGGTCGCCGGTGCCACAAGCAAGGGCTCGAAGGCAATTAATTACCCGAATTCGCCATAAATATCGCAGAAAGATTGCGAGATCATGATGTTGGATTAATTTGGGTTCGAAATGAGAGAGGTTAAAAGGAGAAAAGTCTTTCCAACAATGGTCAAAACCAGAGAGTATGTTTTGAGAAAATTTGAAATGAGAAAGGTTAAAATGAGAAAAGTCGTTTTGAGAAGGGTCAAAACCCGAAGTTTGTTTTGAGAACGGTTTAAATGAGAAAAGGAGAAACGCGAAAGTTGTTTTGCGCTGGGTTGAAATGAGAAGGTAAAAACGAGAAGGTAGAAATGCGAACGGGCTCAAATGAGAACCAACCGCCGCAGTAAGTCACCTGACTACGTCACGGTGTCAACAACTCTAATCAATATAGTGACGTTCTCAACCTTAATCGGCTTGATGCGGTCGGTCACGTGACTACTTCGCGTTACGGGAGATTATATACAGCATGACGTCAAGTTACGCATATGATTAATCGTAGCAACAATACGAAAGCGCCACGAAACCACAATTTCTCATATCAGTGCTGTACATGGCAATATGATCAATACACAGAAATACCGAGCACCCAGTACCGGCAGACTCAAACGGGGTTAAACGACTCAACCTATAATCCGTGCTACAAGCCGTACTTCCACCAGCTCGTATGCACCCTGACTTTGAGTTCATTGTTTCAACATGTTTACATAATCCTGACAAGGAAATAGAAGAAGCTGTTATACACGCGCTCGAAATTATGAAAGAACTACTCTGGAGGAACTTGAAACAACAATGTCTTATACAATAAAGCACATTTGTTATCCTTTGGAATGCATGGTTTATTTTAGAATGGCTATTGTCTGTTATCTTAAAGGCGGGTGTATGAGCTGATACCAACGCCGAAGAAGGATTCAGCAATTAGGAGCATGAACCTAATAAAAGTCACGTTTTCTTAGCGTGGGAGTGGCAAGAGGGGTTCTATCTGGGAAAGACGTTGGAATAAGTATACCTCATTTACACTCATTACCATACCGGGTGCTTTTTCGAACATCTGCAAAACGTTTACTCCGAAAAGTACGCACAGCAAAGAAATAACCATTGGTGTTGTGTAGTCACTTCCAAAGGACCAATTTAGTAGGATACGTAGTTAGGTGATTCATTAGTTGTTGAGATTTTAAAATAAGCGTTTAGTACACTATGACAGTAAATTCGTTCGCTCTGAAATGATCAATGAATGTTAGTGTTTAATGATACAAAAGGCTTAACCAAGAAGTTATAAGCATTATCTGACAATTTCTCTGACAGAAAAAAAAAACGCAACTTAATTTCTTTCTTTATTTTCGTGATCGACGTATGTTTAAACACGAATAGTCTCTGACTGCCGCGCCGCATTTGTATTTCCGAATAGCTCGCCTTTTTGGCAATCATTCAGACTGAAGTTGCGTGATCCGGCCGCTTAAATTGGCGGTGTTTAGGGATCGGAAATGCGCGCGAAAATTGCGACCAGTCGCGAAAATTGACAGGTTCACAGTATGCGGTTGGAAAATTGGGTTTTGCCTGAAAGGAAGAACAATGTGTATAAAATTTTTGGCATCTCTTAATCACATCTGATAAACTTGCAGGCGCACTAAATCTTGCGAATGACTGGGCACAGGCTGTGTGTGTGCGTGTGACGTCGCGTAACACCGCAACCTCATAATGTGACGCGACGTCATGATGTCACATGCCGATGTCACATCACAACCGAACGTGACGTCAAGTTGCACATTCGGACCACACGATCGCACTGCACCTTGCAGCTGCTTGAGTTCATGTGGCGTCACTGTCGTGGGACGTAATGGTTTCGCGTGACATGACGCCATGTTGTCACATGACTTGATACTCACGTGACACCATAAACTTTTTTTCTGACACATTTAGCGGACAGATTTGCACCTTTTGTACGCACCCCTTGTACGAAACACGTGCAAGGGGTGCGTACAAGGCAAACGGGTGCATGACATACCCCTTGAATGTCATGCCCCCCTTGTACGAAACGCCCCATGGGATCCACGAGGAAAGCCCTCGGGAGCTCTGACGGCGCATGGACGCAGGCCTTCAGCCGCTTCGGCAGCATCTGATGCCGCGCAGCCAGGGGTTCTCGATCGCCATGCAGAGCATGCGCGACAACCTGGACGCTGTGTACTGCCTCACCTTCATCTACGGCAACAGCAAGATGGCCGGAGGGGGACGACGCAGAGCACCCACGCTCTCCGGTAAGCCTGCCCCGTTTGTTATCCTTCAGCCAGCTCCTGTCGTGGTCCAGTAGTTTGTCAGGATCTAACGTGTTACAGATATTTGTTACCGTCCTACAAATGAAGCGAATTAACGGTACTGATGATTGAGCTAGCTAGTCGCTTTGATTGCTTCGATTGAACTGCACCGCAAAATGTTACCAATAAACGAGACTGACACTGCGAAAACAACGCTTGATACACAAGTAAGCGCAGCCCTTGCGGCTGCTTGAGTGTGTCGGGCTGTCGTCGTACTCTCAGTGTCGCTTATTGGATACCTTCGCAGCGCATTTATTGAGAGCAATCGAACACTGGTGTGGGTCTCACTGGTTCGAGAAATCGGGTTTCAGTATAAATTGACAAAGAGTGAACACTCTGCTCTAAGGAATGTTACATTTTTAAGGATGGAAAACGTTGTTCTAGACACACACACCCATGGCTCTCACCGTTTCAGATAATTTTTTCGATTAATACACCCAGTTTAATTGTAACATAGGGGGCTGTGGCGTGGAACACCCTTCATTTTTAAGGTGTTCCATGCAACACCTTTCAGAAATGCATGCTCCAGGGACCTAGCACCCTTAGGGTGTTACAGACCTGGGACAGGCTAATTTACACACATAAGAGTGCAATATGTTTAGTGTGTAAGGCCCCTCAAGCTAGCCAGGACAATCGAGCGAAGCAGGTGACCGATCGCACATAGTATACTCCAACGTTGCTACGTGCCTCACTACGATGCACTAACTGCCTCACCGGGGCCATATAGTCTGCAGCGATAGACAAGTTATGATGAAACAAATTATAGGCTTTTAAAATAAAAAAAAAACAAGATTTGAGAACGAAACTTTGACAGGTCGCGCGTGCTCGCTTACTGAAAGCTTACACATCTCCTGGAGAACGGCTTTGCCCAATGACGAACGCATGACGAAAATATTCACCGGAGAAGGGGAACAAGTGTGACGAAAAACAAACACAGATATCCAAAGACAGCTAGGTGCCTGGTGAGTGACCGAAAAAATCTGCCTAGAGATTTCTGTCTGTCCTTTGTCCCCCTTGTTTCCCCTCTCCATGGATTATTATCGTAATTCTTGTCCAGCTTGCTTGGACCTTTCCATTTAATTGCATTACTGTCGTACCCTTAAAAACGCAAGCCGTTCGCGCTTGTTGGTCTTAGACTGTTGGCAGCTGATAAAACCCGTTTGCTTTACTGACGTCTAACTCCTGGCTAGCTCAGTTGGTGGAGTGCTCCACTGGAAATGGAGAGGTCCCTGCTTCGATACTAGGACCAGGTGGATTTTTCCGGTTGCGCACCAGTCACCTAGCTGTATTTGGAGATTTGTGTTTGTCTTTCGGACTCCTTGTTTTCCTTCTCCGGGGAATATTTTCGTCATAATGAGAAACAGCGCAAAAGGGACAGGATACAAAGTAGAGGAAGGACACATGACATACGTTGACTAACAACCAAAGGTTTACTATAACTTCCACGCGCGCACAGTGGCCCGCGCAAGCACAAGCTCCTGTTTCTCTTTCAAAAGAGATAAATGCTATTAAAGAAAGAAACAGCGGCACTAGAAGGACGTAACAAAACGCGTGACCAGAATAAATATTAAAAAAAATATTAAAATTCTGACAGCGGCAGGAGAAAACAATAAGATCATGCGCTGCGTACACTCCACGTTCGCACCACGTGCACACCGCGTTCAGGACACAAATTAGACCTTTACAGCTCGCGTGTACAGTATACTAAGGGAGGTCACAATTGAGAAGTTGTAATTCCCTGTTGGTCAGATGCACTGACGCGATACTAATGCAGTAATCTGGTCCACAGGCAAGTATACGCGCCGCTTCCATGATTTCTCTCTCCAACTTGCCCCTCATGCGTCCCACCACCTTTGTGGTGTCCAGCGCAGGAGAACACCCACAATTCCTGCAGTGTATAGGTAGATGGGAACCGTGACCAATGCTGAGTGAGGCCGAGTGCTCATACAGCCTATCGTTCAAACAGCGGCCAGTCTGTCCCAAGTAGACTCTACCACAGCTGAGAGGGATCTCGTGGACGACTTCCTTAACACAAGGCGCAAACTGCTTGGCCTGCCTCGTGTCACAGGAGCCGTTCCTAGGTTTGGTCCCGCTTGACATTGCGCAGAGTTTTGATAGTTTGCAGGGGGCCGTGAAGACAACGTCAACGTTAAATTTTGCTCCTACACGTTTCAGATTGTGAGAGATCCCGTGAACGTAGGGTAGCACTTCGAACTTCTTTGGCCTTTTCCCAGTTTTCGTGTCAGGACTTTTTATCTTCTTAAGCAGGGATTCGGCCACTCCTCTCATCAGAAAAAGAGGGAAACCAGAAAGTTCAAGGCGATATAGCTGAAGGTCAAAGCTTTCGCGTACGGCATGGGGACAGGACTTCTGTAAAGCCAAGCGGAGGCATGGGTTGGTGATACCCCTTTTGACTAATTTAGAGTGCGCCGAGTCGAATGGTAATATTGTCTTTTTGTTTGCGGCGAGTACATCCAACAGATGTGGTCGGAACCATAGAAGGTCAAACGTAAATCCAAGAACTGCAATGCACCGTCCGCCGGCAATCTGATCGTGAAATGTAAGGGGCTCGAGCACCCTTCAAAAACTTGTCGGACAGACTGGCCGACAGAGTCCAGGCGAGTTTGAGGGGGTACGCTAACCGAAACAACAAAGTCATCCACATATCTACAGATCTTGACAACAGGAACGTCAGTCAAAGCCTGTGAAACAGTGCAGTCAAACTTCGCGAGATAGATTTCGCACAGTACCGGTGCAACACTGGACCCGATACAAATCGGTAAACCTTGTCTTTATAACAGACGAGGGTGGAGTTTAGGTAGCAGGTAGATTAAAATAACTTTTTGGTCATCGTCAAAAAACTGATTGAAGCATCGGGTACTGTTGCATCCCGGAACACGTGTGGAGTAAACACTGGGGCATGTGGTAGGCGGGTCCAGTGTTCTGGGTGTCCTCTTCGACTCTCTCTGCATGCTCATCATTCATATAGCGTCTAATCGCCTCGTTGTACCCTGTAACGGTGCCATTCCGCTTCAGTCATCTGATCAGGTTGTGTAGAATTTGTGGGCTACGTCATAGTTGTTTCCCAGGACTCATGAGGTATCCTTCCAGGAGAGAGCAACTTGATAGCGCCCTCTTTTCATCGTGATGATTTCGTTAACCCATTAAGGCCCATAAAATATGTAGCCATCAAATTCGATTGAAATTTCGTACACATATGTATGCAAGTGCAGGAACAACATGTGGAAATTTTCATGAGAATTCATTGATTTGTTACAAACTTATGGCACTGTACTTTATATAGTACAATGGGCTCTTATAGTGGCAAATCCAGTGGGAGTCACTTCTGCGCATGGAACTTCTTGAAGCAACCATGCTTCAGTCACAGACTAAGGTTGCTGTAATAAGGTGGAGAACTGGGCCAGTTGGTTGACGTTATACATAATGGGGAAAACAGCTCAGAAAACACGGACTACGAAGAGGAACACACACAGCATTGTCCTGTCGAGTGTGTTCCTCTTCGTAGTCCGTGTTTTTTGAGCTGTTTTCCCCATCATGCACTAAGATTGCTCTTCTCGCAGTCTCACATCGACCTCTGGTGGCAAGACGAGCAACGTAATTGCTTTGGGAGCTTTTATGGGGAGTGTCCATTTTTGTCCAGCACAACATCCAAGGCAACCGATACTGGAGCCCTTCGCACTCCCAGGTTCTCCACGCCTAGGCGCAGATAGTAGCGAGTAATAATCGTGGTGAATGCCAGAATATATAGTCTTGAGTCTCCTGTAATCTGGTGAATTCTCCATGCATTTACGTCCGCTACATTGAGCATTTGTGTACACAGCACCCACCACCTTTTTCTTTCCGGATACCAATCCGAGGTCGTGACTAGTGAAAAAATTGTCCAAGAACCCGACATGGTCTGTTAAAGTTGCGACAGCCTCAAGTAGGGAGAGTACAACACGTGTTCCCAGCGGCCTGGTGTCTGTGGTCGGGGACTTTCCGTAGTGTCAAATGCGCAGAGGTAACCTTCCGCACTGCACATCATCCAGTTCTTGTACCCAAAACGAACTGGCTTCCCTCTAATGAAATGCTTTGAAGGGTGGTGACGTTAGTGTTTTACCATGGGCTCATCAACAGAGAGTGCCTCGTGAAAAATGCCATGTTGCCTGAATTTTTTGTTTAGCAAGCTCATCAACTGACGCACCTTATACATTTTGCCTGTTTTTCCTGGAAGCAGGTCAGTGTCGGCTAAATGCAAGAACCGCTTGATGTCAAGGAACCGCTGCCTGCTCATGAATTTGGAGACGCACGCGATGCCAACCTCTTTATCGAACGACCGGTACAGCCATTAACAGGGAAGCTTTGGTATCCAGTCAACAAGAGAATACCTATGCATTTTCTGAAATCATCCAGGCTAAGAGCACAGGCGTGCTCATTTGTTTGCTTGGCGTACGTGCCAGTTTGTATGACGAGGTGACTCAAGACTTCTTCATCCAGAATGGCGCTGAAGATTTCGTTTGGAGACATGCCCAAGAAGTCAAACTTCAGCGTCTCTTCTCGCTGTTCAGCCCCGTTCGTTGAAGACCATGTGTACTCCGGGCTGCTGAACTCCCAGCCTGGGTTTGTGAGCTTTGCCCACTTCGCACGCCGCGGTTGATTGTCAGCGTCCTTCTCATTCGCATGGCTGTGCACTACTAGTGTACCTAAAACAAACATACATACATTCAGTTTTTATGTCGAATGTCGGCAAGACCTGCTCAAAGTTCATAAAAGTTTAGTCTCTTACCTGAGACATCATTCACTTGAACGCTACTGGTGGCGTCATCATCTCTCTCTTCTTCGTCGGTGTCAAGTGACGGGCCAGGAGGCTTAATGATAACATCGACGCCTTCTTCGGCATCTTGGACAACGTCTAGAGCTGCCTCTAAAGTGTCGCTCAACCG